ACAAAACAAAATCGAAATAATACCTTTTCGGTTTTTTATACTTTTTTGATTACTACCAATCAACAATTTACTTATAATTATATTCCATGTCAAATTATTTTAATGTTAATAATGTAATTGATTTTAAAAATCAGTTATGAATTTTTCTATGTATAGTTATTTACATTAACGTAAATACATGTACACAATATGCCTTATACAAATCCGTATAGTCCGCAATACATGTAAATTAAGAAGCTAGATGCCATTAATTTTATCGATATTAATAATCGACCTTTCGCTCCCCCTACCATATATGAGATTTTTACGCCTGTATTAGTGTATGTCAAACGAAGTGATTGCGTCAGTGTGACGACCAATAACAAATCTTTTAACCTAGTGCGTGTTATTTATTTGTGTGCATTTTCCGCGTAGGTATTGGTCTCTTGCTTGTAGTAAAGTTAAAGAGTGGGGGACAAACGGCGACGCGTGTTCTAATACAAATCTGGAACTATTTCCTTTCTAGCCTTCTTTATATGTTCTGTGGTTGGATGCGTAGAGCTGAAGACCGAGCTCAGCGGCGTGCCATTGGAGAGGCTTATGTCCAGCAGTGGACGAAAACAGGCTGATGATGATGATGAATCGCAACCGCGGTGGCTTGAAAATCAATCTTCATTTCGCCACCGCGGTTGGGGCAGGTGAAACTCGCGTCATGAGACCGTAGCGTTACATTTATGGACCTTTTAAAATCAGCATTTTTAACTCTACCTACAAAACATAATATTAGGAAAATAAAACATCAAAATCTTCATATAAAACCCACTTTATTTTTCATCTACCTCCCTGAATAACCTCCGTAACATACAACTATCATATTTACAATATAGACACTAAATTACCGAAATAAATACAAATGTAATGTCCTTAACAATTTCGATATGTTTACACTTACAACATTAAAAAATAAACATTTTCAAAAAATAAAAAAAAAACAGCCATGATTCATAATCTCACAAAAATATAAAAAGAAAAATTAATTAGGTATGTTTTTATATAATAAGACCCTAATTTATCTGTAGGTTAACTTTTTGAGGAGTAATTTTAAGTTAAAAGAAAGTTTTTACCTCTATCATGTCTCAACCGGAGTATTGAAGCCACAACCTCTTTTCGGGCACTCAACCATTTGAAAGTTCACATATAGTATACACATTTCCATATACTAATCAATTATGACATTCATAATTATTATGTTTTATCATAAATCTGAAATCTATTTAAAAAAAACTCCAAAAAAAGTCAACCAAATAACAAACTAGAACCTTAAAAACTAAAATTAAAACTTAATACAGCAACTATTGTATTGTTATTGTTTTAATTTTTAATTTATAAACAGATCGACATCAAGAGAAAACACGTTTACTATAAACTTAACAACATTCGCGTAAAATTTCGTCATCCATCTTAATTGATTACACGGTTCAACAATTTATTTTAATTAAAATATTTTTTTCTGATGCAAACTTTTATAAAGCCGGCGTAATTGTCTAAATGATTTACATAATTATGTTATTTTGTAAATAGGTTAATTATATACAACTGATAGTATAATACTTAGTATTCATTTCTTTGTTTTTTTGTTAAAATCTCAGTGTAGGAATGTAGGTTGTTTTGTAATCTCAAACCTGAATGTTTTACGGCTACTGCATTATAGACCTTATTTCCGATGTTCAGAGACTACTTTTGTATGAACAAATAGAATTATAGAAGAGGTATCTAATCACTCGTCAAATTCTATTCACCCCGTTTTACGAAAGCTAATTCCAATCCCAAAATCTCTGGATTTTTGACAAGAACTAATGTCAAAAGTCAATCAAAAAATGTTGGTTGAAGATCGGTTATTAAAAATCACATCTATATGTATAAATCTCATGGTAAACAAGAATATCATAATAATTATAAATTGTATTCTCTTGGTGTCGATCAATTTAAACTATTTCAAAAGACTAATTTATTTTAAACTTGTTGAGCTCAAAATTAATAATGTTGTACTAATGTTTTACATGTTTTAAAAATCATTGATTCTTTTAATTTATATATGTAATAGAATATCTACTAGAAATAGGATGACGAAAAAATTAAATATCAATTTCTCATTTTAAGAAAGACACAAAAAAGATACGGTCATATTTAGAAGAGGTCAACGCACTTATGTTTATTTCTATAGCTAGTTCGGTCTATATACATTTTTATCGCATAAGTATGTTTTTGTGACTTATTTTACTGCATTGAACTTCTGAAAATATGATCATACTCTTAATTTTTTGCAGACTAAAAGCTAAGCTGAAAATTCTTAATAACTTGCTATTTACGCTAACTAAAATAAAACATTAATTAATTACATAGATATTGTTGTCAAACTGAATTAGCTTATTAACTAAAATCGCTGGTTACTCATGGGTTAGCAGCGTGCGCGGTCGCCGCGACCCTCTGTGGTTCGTTGGTGGTAGACGCGTCATGAGGAAGAACCCCTCTGTGGTTCGAAACTAGTAGAGCTTTTCTCAGTATATTCACGTGAGTAACCCGCGATTTTAGTTAATTTAGTATGTCTCACGATAGTTATTATGAATTAGCTTATCTCAAAATCTGCAAAAACTCAATAAAGTTCTAAAGTCTATAATTTTCACATAAAATATACCGTGCGGTACATAAAAGCTTTGAATTCTAATTACCCATGCATTGTTTAGTTGCCATTTTAACAAAATAATACAATATAACAAGTTTTGATTCCCCGCCATATATATTTGACAGCTGTCAAAATGTTTCAATACGGCTGTTTACAGAACTATGACAATGTAAAATAAATGTTGTTGGTAACGAAATAAAGTTCAAAATTGCTTGAATAGTAATCTAGTAATTTTTATGCGATATTTTATATCTTATCTTGAAATTTTTAAAGTTTATTTTACAATGACAGTAGCTACCATTTTGTTTCTTTTTTAGAGTTCAAGAAAAATGAAAAATTCGAATACTATAAGATTGACACAGTAATATTTTCATAAGAATTTTCATAGATTTGTAAATTATTGGGCCCGGAGAAAATCTAGCGTCATTATGACCTCTATTTCTACTTAAAAGTGCCAAAAATGTAGAAAATTGTGACCTTAAACTATTGAAGTGTCACTACATGCTATTTTAAACTTTACGTGGTCTGCGTTTGGTCGATAATACTTAGTTACTAGACAGCTACCTTAGGTTATTTATCAAAAAGGACTAATCTACGATAGATTGAAGATTTTTAGATTTGAATAATGGACTTTTAAAGGCTCATTTTGTGAATGGTAGGATATACAGGGTGTAGCATGGTTAGTTTTATAAAATAGCCACTTTGTTTTGTTTACCAAAAAACTAAAGATTAATTAATGAAGTTAAACATGTAGATAGATCTTTTTGGCGAGATTTAAATACTTTTTAAAGTTCTCTTCCAATAGTGTCCTTTGACTTATATTTAGGATTTTACACTAGGATTTTCTCCTGTGTCGTGGGTGTGTTTACAAACATACAAGTTCACATACACATGACACCCAAACCCAAAACAACAATCTGTGGATCACACAAAGAGTTGTTGCGGGCGGGAATCGAAACCGCGACACGTTGCGCGGCAGCCAGTTGCCCAGCCACCGCGCCAACCGTGCAGTCAAAACAAAAAAATGTCTAGAAACCTAACTACAATATTTAAAACAATTTCTCTCAGTTTCTTATACCGATGAAAACCCCTGTATATCCTACAGTTTTACAATCAACAAGCTAAAAGTAGATTTTCTATAAAGATCATATCACTAGCCAATACTCAGATTAAAAATATCAAAGATACAATTACACGACGGAGTAAAATGTAACTTATGACTATTGGCATAGAGTTTAAAATGAAATGCACGTAGCTTAGATAGTATTATTGGTCAAATTTGAATTATATTAAAAGTAAGATTGCATTATTTTTAAGTATTCTGGAAATTGGGAGAAAATGATTCTTCTGTAAAAACCTTTTTGTTATTACATTAGTTTTTAATTGATCTAGCCATCTAGCCGTAGTAAGGTTTCAATTCTAGCATATTTTAAAAATGTCTTAATAAACTATCCCTTGTTTTAAAATCGTATGTAAATCTGTTCAGTAGTTTTGGAGTTCATCACGTTAAGAAAAATTAGCTGGGTACATTACATTAGTTTAAAGGCATAAGGAATTTTATCCAAAGATAAATACACCTTAAACACATGACAATACAGTTGAAATTTTAATAACGTACCGTTTTTATAATGTACCTACTATACGTAGTACTTTAATTTAAACCTTATTGCAACAATTTAAAAGATTTTTCTTTTTTAAAACCCTTTGCGTTTTCGCCCATTGTAATTTCAGCCATATGGAATCACTTTTTAAGTTACATTCCCAACAGCTTTTGCATAAAACATACTTTAAAATTTCCTTTTTTTTCAAAATGAAAATACATAAATCCATTTTACAAATACAGTCGGTTAAACAAAAAACCAGTTCTCACACAAGTCTTTTTAAATACTATTTTAATAATAATTGTTATTAATTTAAAATTTTTGGTTTACTCACGTAAATATTGAGAAGATGTCTATTTTCAGTTTACGCCTACGCTACTCATGAGGAAGACTCCCTCCGTAACTCGAACCTAGTAGAGTTATTCTCAATATTCACGAGAGTAAATCGGCATTTTTAATGGGGACTATTGTTACATTTTTACTCAACAGTTGACGCTAGTGTGTAACTCTCATTTTTGGTCTAATGGGAAATTAGCTAATATCACACCATTGGACGTCCAATCGTAGTAATTGGCGTTCCGTAGTCTCTGCCTACCCCCATGGGAGACAGGCGTCATACACATACATATATATGCACGTTCAATATTTGATAGCTGAGCTGCGATTGGACAAAAAACCCTACTTCGGTACTACATCTGATGACCAAAAATCCCCATTAATTACCATTAGCTATAGTGTCAGTGTTGTTGTTGGTCGTCAGTAGTGTTGTTGTTGGTGGGCGGCGCGATAGATGGCAGTGCGGTAGTGACGTGCGTGTCCTTGTCGAGCGGTCTGTATGACCAGTTCCCACAGCCGTCGAATTCTAGGACATGTGTGTGGTATTTCCTGGGGACATTATAAGAATAATCTATTGAAATAAACATTTACAAAATGAACGTTAAGTCAACAGTAACAGGGTTTCCTATTACAGTAAAGATACAATACAGTACTTAAGAATATATTAAAATTAATAAATATCAATAAAGGTAAATTCAAAAGACTGATTTGGAAAATTCCATTATTTGACATTGGACCGCCCGCTCTAAGTTAATTTAAACCTGTGTTTCAGGCCATCACTTTACAGTTCTTAATCATTGTGACATTGTCTATAATCACGTCTCATAAATAGAGAACTTCGAATCTAAAAAGCCTAGATATACTTTACTAGACATGAGAACCCAATCCCTGGTATAATATCTAGTACCTTGCGAATGTTATTATACCAAACGCAACACTCAAGATGACTTAAATAGTAAATAGAGAACGATTGCACTTGCATTTTTTTTTTTCAGTTCACCTTTTTTTATTAACTAACACATCAAATTAATAGTAAACTAAACAAAACGCCTTTCCTCTCTACTACCAATTTTAAATGTTGCTGTGCCTGACAGGGTCCATAATTGTTACTATTTGTATTTTTCTAACCACCTGTATGTGTACATTATGGATGTAATAAATATTAGATTACTTTGATTACATTATACATCTTATGCGAACAGTAATAAAGCTGAACTTACCAGACGCTAGGCCTGTGAGTGATGGACAGTAGAGTTATTCCCTCTTTGACTGCCTCCTCGTACATGACGACCTCGGTCTCCATGGACACCGCGCTCGTACACTCGTCCAGTAACGCGTACACGGGCCTAAGGACATTTACGTATTAAGGTTAATTACAAATTGTGGGGTAATTTCCTTGATTTAAAACTGTTATTATTAATTATTAACCTTAAAACTATGGCTTAAAATCATCTTGTTTTTTCTCAAAACTATAATTTTGTTATTTTTATCTAACTTTTTAGATGTTGATATATAGTGTATGAGTAACAAGTTTAATTAAAATTAATTCAGTGGAATTAAGTGCCGTAATGTGCACATCTGCCTATCCCTTTGGGAATAAAATGCGTGATGATATAATACGTTTCGGTAGCTTTTATAATTCTAGTGTCAAAATTCAATATACTACTATAGCGTACCTAATGAGCATTTAAATAAGTCTTTACAATCTAAAAAAACCTTGAACATTTATCTTTGACTGCAGTGAAGCGGAACCGCGACGGTTTTTCAACATTTCATTGTACTAAAATCATGCCCAATTTTATATAGGAATTGGCGTTCCAGTATCTGCCTACCTCCATGGGAGATAGGCGTAAAGTTATGTAAGTATGGAAGTATGTAAAATCAAGTTCTCAAATCAAATCTTATATTTTTAATTCCACAAAATTATGCATCTAAAAATCCGCTGCAGTGCGACCGGGGCCTTATTGACAAAGTCTCACGAATAAGAATGTGAGCTGACCTGTGGTAGAACATCCTGGCCATGGCCATCCTCTGCTTCTCCCCGCCGGAGAGCGTGGCGCGCCAGTCGCGCACGGCGCGCAGGCCGCCGTGGCGCGCGGCGCACGCGTCCAGCCGTATAGGTAAATAACAATGTGAGCTGACCTGTGGTAGAACATCCTGGCCATGGCCATCCTCTGCTTCTCCCCGCCGGAGAGCGTGGCGCGCCAGTCGCGCACGGCGCGCAGGCCGCCGTGGCGCGCGGCGCACGCGTCCAGCCGTATAGGTAAATAACAATGTGAGCTGACCTGTGGTAGAACATCCTGGCCATGGCCATCCTCTGCTTCTCCCCGCCGGAGAGCGTGGCGCGCCAGTCGCGCACGGCGCGCAGGCCGCCGTGGCGCGCGGCGCACGCGTCCAGCCGTATAGGTAAATAACAATGTGAGCTGACCTGTGGTAGAACATCCTGGCCATGGCCATCCTCTGCTTCTCCCCGCCGGAGAGCGTGGCGCGCCAGTCGCGCACGGCGCGCAGGCCGCCGTGGCGCGCGGCGCACGCGTCCAGCCGTATAGGTAAATAACAATGTGAGCTGACCTGTGGTAGAACATCCTGGCCATGGCCATCCTCTGCTTCTCCCCGCCGGAGAGCGTGGCGCGCCAGTCGCGCACGGCGCGCAGGCCGCCGTGGCGCGCGGCGCACGCGTCCAGCCGTATAGGTAAATAACAATGTGAGCTGACCTGTGGTAGAACATCCTGGCCATGGCCATCCTCTGCTTCTCCCCGCCGGAGAGCGTGGCGCGCCAGTCGCGCACGGCGCGCAGGCCGCCGTGGCGCGCGGCGCACGCGTCCAGCCGTATAGGTAAATAACAATGTGAGCTGACCTGTGGTAGAACATCCTGGCCATGGCCATCCTCTGCTTCTCCCCGCCGGAGAGCGTGGCGCGCCAGTCGCGCACGGCGCGCAGGCCGCCGTGGCGCGCGGCGCACGCGTCCAGCCGTATAGGTAAATAACAATGTGAGCTGACCTGTGGTAGAACATCCTGGCCATGGCCATCCTCTGCTTCTCCCCGCCGGAGAGCGTGGCGCGCCAGTCGCGCACGGCGCGCAGGCCGCCGTGGCGCGCGGCGCACGCGTCCAGCCGTATAGGTAAATAACAATGTGAGCTGACCTGTGGTAGAACATCCTGGCCATGGCCATCCTCTGCTTCTCCCCGCCGGAGAGCGTGGCGCGCCAGTCGCGCACGGCGCGCAGGCCGCCGTGGCGCGCGGCGCACGCGTCCAGCCGTATAGGTAAATAACAATGTGAGCTGACCTGTGGTAGAACATCCTGGCCATGGCCATCCTCTGCTTCTCCCCGCCGGAGAGCGTGGCGCGCCAGTCGCGCACGGCGCGCAGGCCGCCGTGGCGCGCGGCGCACGCGTCCAGCCGTATAGGTAAATAACAATGTGAGCTGACCTGTGGTAGAACATCCTGGCCATGGCCATCCTCTGCTTCTCCCCGCCGGAGAGCGTGGCGCGCCAGTCGCGCACGGCGCGCAGGCCGCCGTGGCGCGCGGCGCACGCGTCCAGCCGTATAGGTAAATAACAATGTGAGCTGACCTGTGGTAGAACATCCTGGCCATGGCCATCCTCTGCTTCTCCCCGCCGGAGAGCGTGGCGCGCCAGTCGCGCACGGCGCGCAGGCCGCCGTGGCGCGCGGCGCACGCGTCCAGCCGTATAGGTAAATAACAATGTGAGCTGACCTGTGGTAGAACATCCTGGCCATGGCCATCCTCTGCTTCTCCCCGCCGGAGAGCGTGGCGCGCCAGTCGCGCACGGCGCGCAGGCCGCCGTGGCGCGCGGCGCACGCGTCCAGCCGTATAGGTAAATAACAATGTGAGCTGACCTGTGGTAGAACATCCTGGCCATGGCCATCCTCTGCTTCTCCCCGCCGGAGAGCGTGGCGCGCCAGTCGCGCACGGCGCGCAGGCCGCCGTGGCGCGCGGCGCACGCGTCCAGCCGTATAGGTAAATAACAATGTGAGCTGACCTGTGGTAGAACATCCTGGCCATGGCCATCCTCTGCTTCTCCCCGCCGGAGAGCGTGGCGCGCCAGTCGCGCACGGCGCGCAGGCCGCCGTGGCGCGCGGCGCACGCGTCCAGCCGTATAGGTAAATAACAATGTGAGCTGACCTGTGGTAGAACATCCTGGCCATGGCCATCCTCTGCTTCTCCCCGCCGGAGAGCGTGGCGCGCCAGTCGCGCACGGCGCGCAGGCCGCCGTGGCGCGCGGCGCACGCGTCCAGCCGTATAGGTAAATAACAATGTGAGCTGACCTGTGGTAGAACATCCTGGCCATGGCCATCCTCTGCTTCTCCCCGCCGGAGAGCGTGGCGCGCCAGTCGCGCACGGCGCGCAGGCCGCCGTGGCGCGCGGCGCACGCGTCCAGCCGCACCAGCCGCAGGATGGCCGCCGCGCGCCGCGCCGCCGCCTCGTCGTCCGCCGCCGCGCGGGACGGGTACGTCACCTGGTCGATCAGCGAGCCCTGCGACATGTACGGCCTGCCGCCGGTTCGACATTTTAATCAAAATGAAAATACTTATTTGTAAACATACCTACGTTATTATTATACCTATGTATGTACAATGGAATGTTACAATTCAGTGTAGACAATAAGTAAGTATAGGAAAGCCTTCATCAAAAATAATTTATTTCGACTGTTTAATGCAATAAAATATTCATAAATAATTACACTTTCATTCATTAATTTTATGACCAACTTAATTTTAGTATTTTTCTAGCAAAGGGCATTGACTAAAATTGGTGCCTTTATTTTTTCTGGCGGCAGTCGATGATTTATGGAAAATATTATCTAGAATGTCATTACAAACGAAATTGTCTATGGGCTCATATATGGAAATCTCAGTCTGGACTGAGTTATGAGCGTTGAAAGGAGCTGGAATAAAACATTTTACTTTCGTTTTTTTATTCAAATTATTCATATTTTTGTCACAATTCTAACTTCAAATTGCGCGCCACTGTACGCCGGGCACAGAAACACCAAATCACACCACAATATATCCATATTGCCAGTCGCTAATTTTTATTAGCTATTTTCTCTCAGTCGATAACTTGTAGGATGCTTCTATGAGTTGTGTCGAGAAGCTTCATGAGTGTCAGCTGTGGTACCATTGGTGGGTTGAGTAGTTGTAGCCGTCCAAACATCTAATAAAGTATTATTTTTTTGCTGTTGACTCCTGGTGATAGACTCATCTACTTTATAGTTAGCATAATCTTTTGACGAAAGGAAACCGTCGACTTTGTAAAGTGATGGACTATACGTCAGACGAGCGCATAATTTTTTCATATAATGCGATCAGTCGAAATATTATCCACCACTTTGTGACTGAATGATGATATCTTTGTACAGAATCTTATGCTAGCTGTAGATTTAAGTATTAACTGTAGTTAGAGTAGTTACTAATGGGAATTAAGACGGGAGAAGTAGACAGAAAAATCAATTTTTCGTGTTTTGACGACTGCCGCTACTCAATCTGCTATCGACGCCGCAGCTGATAAACATAGCATTTCATGATAGGGCTCAGTAAAGTATTTTGCGGGTTTTCAACTGAGAGGATATTGATCATTAAAATCTGTCATAGGCCATAAACCATAACATATAACGTGAACACGCTAGCCAATCAAGCGAAATGTTTTTTTTTACTTCAGCAGTGGCCAGTTAATGGTTCACTTTGTTCTGATTCCGATGCCTTATAAAAAAAAAAAGAAAACAAAAAAAAATAAGTAAAAAAGTCCACAATAAGCTTTATTGTATTCCTTGAAATCATTTATAAACATTTATTACAAAATATTTTTGACAAGTGTAATTGAAGAAATATGTCACCATCAACAAAATAAGAGGAATAGTATAGCACTATTTTCACATCTTTGAACTGATTTAACTCGGTTCTGACTGAATTTTTGATATAAGACCCCATATATTTTTTTGTTTGTAATGTTATTCTGCATCAGTTTTTCCACATCCGATCAACTGCCGCGAAAAAATGAAAAGGCACCACGCTCCATACAAATTTGGTCATTGTCATTTAATTCTTAAGAAATAACTATTCTGTTTGACGCTAAAAAATGTAACGTCACAATACCTACACAATCTCGTACAAAATTAATAAAAACCGGAAATAATGGAGAGTGAAAAGCGATCACCGGTGACTGCTTAAGGATTGAGTAATTAAGGGTGGTTTAAAAGTGATATCAATGTAGGATGAAGGTGGCTTGAAAATGAAAAAGAGTACTATGATAGTGATGCTAAATTAGTATAATAGTGAGATTAACATTGGTATAACGTCTTTACGATGGTGGTATAATAATGGTATAAGGATAAAATGAGGTCATTACGATAGTAATTTAATTTTATAATCGTGATATGTTAGTGGTACAAAAGTGGTACTAGAGCTTTATGACAATGGTACAATATTGGGCCTTATGAGAGTGGTATGAGAGTTAAGTGGCGTAGAGTGTGTGGAGTGTACTGTATTGGTGGTAATATATAGTGAGTGGTGGTTACCTCTGCGGGATGTAGAACATGATGGGTCGCGAGGCGCAGTACCCCGCGGGCGCGCCGCCGTCGTCGGCGCAGTGTGCGCAGGCGCACGGCCGCGGCACGTGCAGCTCGCCGCCGAACACGGGCCACAGCCCCGACACTATGCGGAACAAACTGCCGGGGACAATGGCAACTATTGTATACATGTTCACAAATATACAACTAAATACTTTAATAACTTGAATGTCTTATTGGGTTCTCAGGGGCGTGAAATAAAGTTCGACACACGAATTACTGTATAACTGTAAATATTGGATTAAACTTTAAACTATATATAAACAAGGCACAATAATACAAAACTCAAATATTTCGCGGCACAAATACTCAGCGCGAGGCGCGGGACTCGTTGTTCTGTTTCGCTTCCACGTAAGCGTCGAGCGGTCAGTGGCGGGGAAGCGGGGGAGGAGGAATAGTGAGGTGGCGTGTTGCCACTAGAGTTGCGCGAGTGCGTCCGACACAAACCAAAATCGAATTGCCGCGTTACAATACTTAAATCTTTTTGCAATGTTTGCCATTTTTGAATTATTATTCATTTTTTTCTTAAAATGACAACGTCAAGGCTTTTTAATCCCGATGGGGTTGACTGGGTTGAGCTTATTGCTTATATTATACCGAACTTTATCTCATACTCCTGCAAGTTACTGAGAAAATTTGAAATACCCCAATAACACTAAATCGAGACCCCTTGATTGGCAATGGGGGCTACCATTTTTTTTTGCACAAATGTAGCAAGAATTCTTGTCCAATCACTGCAGCTGTCAAATACTGAACGTCCAATGGTGTGGCATTAGCTAATTCCCTATTGGACGAAAAACTAGACTTCACACTAGTGTCATCGAATGTGCCAAAATACAGTAGCCCCAATTCCACTAGCAAACTTACGACCAACAAGGTAGTTTTTTCTTCAAACAATGCAAATCTTCTTTCTTCTTCTTCTTACATAACATCACGCCTTTTTATCCCCGAAGGAGTAGGCAGAGGTGCCCATTTCGGCACTTAATGCCACTGTACATTGTAACACCCACTTTTCACTATTTATGTTATAAGTCCCATGCAATAGGGGGTGAGCCTATTGCCATATACCGGGCACATTTCCAGACTCTGTGCTACTACTGAGATTTTATAAAAACTCAGTAATACTTTGCCCGACCCGGGAATCGAACCCGAGACCCCGGCAGTCGCACTTGCGACCACTCGGCCAACGAGGCAGTCTTCTTCGTCTTCTTCTAACATATTTATTTATTTAAGCCTAGATATATTTCCATATTCTATGATTAACTAACAATAAAATTGAAATTAAACTTCAATACTTTTTGATGACAAGAACCCCATAATGGGTATAGGCGTCCGGTATATATAGTAACACCTTATTTACCTGGACTTCCCGCATCCATTAGGTCCAACAATGAGTAGATGCGTCCCGGGCGCGATGTCTAGAGAGACCCCGGCCGCCACTACGTCGCACGCCGGCGTCACTATGGGCACGTTGCGGAGCTTTATCGACAGGTCCGATGTGTATACTATTTTACCTGGGGGAAGATAGAAATAAATGTTATAAAGGATGTTGTAATTGATACATAACGGTTCTATGTTACTCGACAAGTTTCAAGCTATTCCAGGGGCCCATACAGCTACTAACGACGTGACGTTGCGTTGCTAACGAGCAATAACTAGTCGAGTACTTACCTTTGTCGAACACTTATGTGAATGAACTATGTACAGTTTTGTTTGTTGTAACAAATAATTTATCGCTAATATTTCTTTCAGTATTTTATTAAAATATAGAATTTTAGTCCTTGTCTAATTTATACTAGCTTATTATTATACTAGCTTATACTATTATTATACTATTTTATTATTTTTTATTATACTAGCTTATACTAGCTTATAGCTATAATTTATACTAGCTTATACCCGCGGCTTCGCTCGCGGGTATAAGCTTTCCGATTTATAATATTAGTAAGGATGAAGAAATCAATAGTAAACCCTGACGACGTTGTTACTCGTCAATACTAGATATTCGCATGCGGTTTCTTTCGGTGCTCGGTTCATATAAGTGCAGCATTTTATAATTTTATGGCTTTATTAAGTTTTTTTAATTCGATCTCATAGTTCCGGATGACACGCATTCAGCATAATTAAAAAGTAGTAGTGGAGGTATGTGGGTACCGTCGGGCACGGGCGAGTTGTCCCGGAAGGTGACCTGGAAGGCGGCGTGCGGCTGCACGTGCACGGCGCGCACGCAGCGCCCGCGGGCCACCTCGCCGAACACCACCAGCATGTCCGACACGCGCGTCGCGTAGCCCGCCAGCGTCACTATCTCCTGCCGGGACACAGACAAGGGGTTAATATTGCATAATTACATTAAAACAACTAAGTTAAGAAGAGTTGCATTAAAGAAGGGCCAAATTAAAAGTAGGTACCCTTAACCGACGAGCATGCATAAAAAGATTGATGACTGATGAAGCGAAAGAGGTGTGTAGGAATCGTAGCAATTGGCGTTCCATAGTTTCTGCCTACCCCATGGGAAAAAGGCACGAAGTTATAATTTTCTAAAAATATAATCACAAGTCGTCATCAATGGTCAATACTCATCGTAAATAATAAACAATCGTTGTGAGTAGTATACAGTCGTCATAAGAGGTCAACGGTCCTCAAAATTAGTTCACAGTCAACGAGAATATCTTGTAGTCAATATTAGTCAACAGTTACCAAAATTCATCGATAGTCATAGTCAACCATCACAAATACAACACCACCACTATTTTATTTTTCAAATAACATTACCTCAAACTAAGATTTTCTCTTGTGTCGTGGGTTCGTTTACAAACATACAAATTCACATACACATGAGACCCAGACCAGGAAAAACAATTTGTGGGTCACACGAAGAGTTGATCCGTGCGGGGGTCGAACCTGCGACACGTTGCTCGGCTGCCGACTGCCCAGCCACCGCACCAACCGTGTAGTCGAATTGACAGTCAGCAAAATCCATCATCAGTCACAAACTGTCATCATCAATGATCGCCTACAGACATCATCAGTCATTACAAGTGACCCATCAATAACAATAACTTACCTTGTAGCTGGACATGAGCCTCTCGATGGCGTCAGCGGCCGAGTTGAGTAGATTCCTGGATGTCGTCATGTATTCAGCGCGGTCACTTATACTGCTTCCTGTAAACGATCATATTTTCAGCGTTTTAAAACAGTTTCCACGAAAATACAGTGTGTAGAGATAGAGGGAAAGTACCTTAAACAATTTTTATGAAAGACTTCATTTTATTTTTAGAACAAATTGAATAGTATTCGCAGATTTTTAAACCATATACCTACTTTGGCAGAATTGAATCAGAAATACAATTAAAACAATGTTCTCAAGTTAAAAATAATCCTTTAATAATGTTGCCCGCGACTCCGTCCGCGTAGGATATGATTCCTGTTTTATTTCATGGAAGTATTTAATAAAAAGTATCCTATCAGAAGTCAGCCCAAACCCCGCTTGTATACCGGAGAACGGCAGATTTTGTACCGCTTCGCTAAAAAAAGATTTGTCATTAAAAAATTGGGTCATTATAGAACCTCCTAATTACGTTATGTTAGCATATTTAATAGATTTTTAAAACTTGGGAAACCCTAGAAAAACTGATATTCAATAATGATAAAAAGCAATCCACTATACGTAAAACGAACCGCGATTGACGTTTACAAAGTTGCCATGCGTAAAGATGAAATCAGAGCATATTGAATTTCACTATTTCATAAACTCATTTCTTTTAATATCTATCAATGAAATATTTTCCTTTCCATTTCCCAACATTTTTATAAGTAAATATAAAAATCTACATCCAATCTAAATCTACGTCTACATGGATTATTAATGATAATTAACATTTTAACAAACTTGAATATGGCAATGTTGAACTGGCATTTGTCTTGATGACATTGACAATTAATTAGTCAATACTGGCGCATTGCTGTTTGTTTCAAATGCGATGTTTTGATGTGTTTGTTGAATTTGAAGTTATTTTATTCATCTGGTGATACGTTGAGTTTGGCAACCGTTCCTCCGTAGCCCAAATTGGTGTTATTGGCATCATTGTTGTGACAATTGCGAAAAGACATAGTGTATTGTTATTTGTCGCGATGATGAATTTACAGTGTATTAATTGCATTCAGAGTTTGTCGCACATGAGACGGCATGCTCTAGAAATGAGAGTGAAGATTAGACGTGGTCAACAATATCCCAATGTGGACTTATCCTAGAGATGTAAGTACCTAGTTTACCCATAACATATCGAAAGTCACCATGTTGCCTGAATAAAAGAAGGCGCATAGTGTTATCTACCCATAATGTATCATTTTATTCTTTTTATTCTAGATCTCTCCTACCGACCATATTTGCAATGCTTGCTGGCAATTAGCAATGTATCGGGATGTTGCTGAAAGTATGTCCAGCAAACAAATTGGTCACTGGCATGTTTGTGTCGTATATGGGTGATTCATTGCAATGATAAGGTGACGCAGGGTTTTAATTGAAGGCGCCAACAAACAGGACTAAAGACTGGCTCATATAGTATTTGATTGGATTCAGCCACAAGAGGTAATAAAGCATAATTTAACCATACTATTATCTATATACAGTGTAATCTAAAGTCAATATCATAATCTAATAATATTACTTATTTTAGCTTACTTCCCATGATGAAGATCATGTTCCATACTGACTGAGAGACCGTACAAGAGTCGAAACTATAAAACCACAACCTGACATACCACCTCACAGTGTTCACTATCAGGAAGTAATGTGTTATGTAAACATGGACTAAGCCTCACTTTAACATTGCCATTTGTAGAACAGATGAGGCCGGAAGATGTTGTTCGGCTCTCAAAGCTTCAACAGGTATGCATTCTCATTATAATGTACCTACATAATTATGTATCTATGTGGAGTATATAAGCGGTTTCTAATAGGTTTATACTCATGTTATAATTATAATTTATTAATTAGCATGCTGTTTGAGCTCCTATGATCTGTGTTATACGAATAACTATAATAAATGTTATAAAATCAAGTAATGTAATCAAATATTTATTTTTATCTTTTCCATTTTAAGATAGGGAATCAGACATATTATTATAACATATAAAACTAAAGGAAAAAAATGTACTTTTGTTTACTTTATTTACAGTTATCTTACTTGTTTACAGATATCAGCAATTGATGTCTGCTGTACCTATGACACGGCCTGTTCTCTTTTTAGATGAAGTACTCCTAGAAACAACCTGAATACAATGAAATAAAAGTATTTCAAAATAATACATTTGTTTTATTTAAACCTAGTAAGTAACTATATATTCCATCTTGATAAAAGTGATTTTAAGAATCAATCTATAAAATAAATGCCATATTTAATAGATAGAGTTTTATACCAAAAATGTTCATTTTCATTTTACATTTTCTTTAGTTGTAATGTGGTGGCCCAGAGGTTTGAGAAGCCCGCTTCTCATGCATGAGAGTGCAGGTTCGAAACCTACCAACGGCAAAGTACCTTTTGTCCAATGTGTCTTTTTTCCGAGTTATTGGTATATTCAATAATCTAAGAAAGTACAAAGACACCGCTGACGAATGGTGAAGGAAAACATTGTGAGGAAACATGGGCTTATAATTTCTTATTATAAGTTTGAATTATCAACCCACATTGAGCTAGTATGGTGATTAATGCTCAAACCTCCATGCGAGAAGAGGCTTCGGTCAGCAGTGGCCACTTATAGACTTAATGATGAAAATGTTGATGATTCTACTAATTTGAATTACTTATTAGAAATTAATCCTTACATGCGAGCTAAGCAACCAGTTTTCAGAAGAAATACTTTCTCAAAGAGCTAAGCTAAGTTTAAATCGAATTAACTTGAGACCCTTGAGACTATCTACCTGCAAGATTCAAGGTGAAGTGAGACATTAGTTTTATCATATCCGCCACAAGACTTCCACTGCTAAATGTAGGCCTTCTACCCAATGACTGTCGCTTACATTATGAATTTGCATTTTCGTAGGCACCTAAGGTCCCTTTTCACCAAGCTCTGTAAAAACTCAGTTACACGTAACCTAAGTTTAAAGTAACCTAAGTTCTGTGTTCTGTGTTTTCTGTACTGAGTTCCGTGTAAACTAGTTTCTGTTTGTAGCGGTGAAATGTAAAATGAAGCTGTAACTTCGTTTAAACGCTTTAAATTCGATTAGACGCTTTAAATCAGTTTTGTTAGGTGTAATCGTGATCAGTTTCGTTGGTGAAAAGGGACCTAAGAAATGAAAAAGATTGTGAGGCATACTCTTTAAAACTCTATAGGTGCACCATGCTTGCTGAATTAACAGGATCATTCCTAATTGCCGCTGCGACGCACCATAGGTTATTTTTTGGGTTTCTAAATTCTTGTTTGTCGCAAAATAAATGGTTTTTCTTTCTTTCGTTCTTTCTAATAATACAAAGTGTAATAGTCACTTGAGTAGCGAGCAGTATTTTTAGATTTTTGTTTTTTGTAAATAAACAACCACATGAGAGCACATTGACATTTTTCAGTTAACTGTCATCTGTCATTTGTAATAGATATTTTGCTTACGGTGGCTCTACACTTGACGTTGCGTATTTGTTGTGTTCGGCCAAAAAAGAACATGTTTGGAGGATTTATTCTTCTTTGTTTGCTATATATTTGCACGCCATTACATATAGAGATACTATTTGGACGCCATTTGTACGTAGTCTACAAATATTTGGACAAACGAAGCGACTACGCAATGTCAAATGTGGTACAGGTGGTACATAATAACATACCTTTTGCACATTTTCAAAGTGAAATAACTTTTGAACCCCAAGTTCTAAAAATATGTAATTTTTTTCTAAACTTCATAATAAAAATATCTATCGTTCAGACTATTCACTTGGTTAAAACAATGACTAATACAAAATTTTATAGCGGTACAAAACTTCCATACAAACCTGCCATTCTCCTTTCATTCAAATCTAGTAGTTTCAGCGTGATTGACGGACAAACATCTAAACGAGAAACTTTCACATTTATAATTATTTTTTCGAACAGTTACTGCACACCATTACCTCATATTATATTATATTATATATATTACTGTCCATAATTCAAACTCATTGACACACTTTGAAGAGCTAATATTAATCGTTTTATCCGCGATGAAGTATAGTAAGTAAACATTCATTAGCTTAATAACATTCTTCGACGTTGCGGCCTAAAATAAACCCAATCACAATAGCATAAAGTAAAAACTGTACTAACCGTCTCTCTGCGAGTGCGTGGCCGTCAATATAGGTAACGCCAACATGACCATTCCAGTCCCCGACCAGACGTACTTCATACAGAACTGCTCCAACATCACGTACCAGAGCTTCTTGTTGAACACTGACGTCATCTGCGCCACTAGCTCCTTGTAGGCAGCTTGGAGCTGACTTAGTTCCACCTGGAAGGAAGACGGGTGATATTTAGAAGATTTATTACTGTACTACTTTCTATATGCACACATAAATTCACGCCTGTCTCTCCCATGGTAGGCAGAGACTATGTAACTAGATAATTGTATTGTAAACCTGATTGAAAAAGAGTAACCTATGGAGTTTCTTGCTCGTTCTTCTCCATAGGAATCTACACCTTGGAATAAGCAACTAGGTTCACTTCTAAATTTTTGTTGTTGACGTTGAAAAGTGCCATCCTGGTCTAATTGAAATAAATTATTTTGACTTTGACTTTTGACTTTGTAAAGCAAACTGCTACGATTCTTACATACCGCTTTCGCTTCATCAACAGTCATAAATCTTTTTTATAATAACCATCGTGAGACATACAAAATGAACTAAAAATCGCGGGTTACTCACGTGAATATACTGAGAAAACCTCTACTAATTTCGAACCATGTTCTTCCTCATGAGCAGCGTGCTTTCAATATTTCTATGCATGCTCCCCGGTAAAGGGTACTTCTAATTAGGCCCTTCTTTAATATACTATACTGCCTTTGCATGTAAATATTGTGATTACAAGTTTATACAATGTCTTAGAAAACTTCTGGTATTCTGTTTAGTTAAAAATGTTGTCATGTCACTTTGTAAATCCGAAACACTAAATATTTTGCTTCATGAATCGTAAAGCTGTTTGTTAAGCTCTCCGTTTTTGTTGGATTGCTATTTATCCCGGCCATCCATTAAGTGAAGAAACAAAGAATAGGGTAGCTGTCAGGGTATCAAAATTAAATTTATATATAATATTTTTATTTTGGTCCGAGCTTTATACCTTATGTCCACCATAGAAGGCGACCTCCTCAGCGTGGGCAATGAGCCTGGCGTGGACATGCCTCAAGTTGGCCTTCATTCGCGCCTCCTCACCGGCCAGGGCACCAAACTTTGGACTCAATAGCCGCAACAGCTGGCCCGTCAGGCAGATCACTACTGTGGCTATGCTGGGACCTGGAAAATAGGAATTTGTTATGTTGAAATATAATGTGATAAAAGTGATTATTAATTTTTAGAGTAACTGTATCCTTTATCTATTTAGGCGAATGATCTTTAGCGCGACTTCAGCAAAGGGGTCTCAGGTTCGTCCAGTGTCAAACAATGAATTATTAGATTTCAAAAATTTTAATAATTGCCGCCAGCTTAGAACTATACCACATGTATCCTACTAGGGCCACCCTTTATATAACCCTCTGGTAACTCGCGACAATGAATATGTCCCCTCAACCCCAAGGAAATTTGTTTATCACCTTTTAATGCCTAATCTACCTAAAGGGTTTTAAAAAAATGTCAGTGGTAGTACGGCGTCTGGAATTGTGCCCGATCTATGGCAAAAGGCTCACCTTCATTACATGGGACTCATAACATAACATGAAAAGTGGGTGTTACACTATATAGTGGCTTTAAGTGCCGTAATGTGCACCTCTGCCTTCCCCTTTCGAGGATAAAGGGCTAGATTATGTAATGCCTAATGTACCAAAAAACCTTGAAACCTTGCATACATAATGATAATAGATGAAACCGGGCAAGGATAAAACCTAGTAGATCCCATAAATTAACAAAAAAGTAACACATACCAATAAATATATTGCCCTTCATCTTGTTGGAGTAGGTGGCGAGGGTGAGCACAATGAGGAGCAGGTCGAAGCATGGCTTCGTCAGCGAACTGTACAGGTGGGCCACTGACTGCGTGAATACTGACACGTCTTCTGTTAACCTGGAAGCCAAATAGATAATATCGATATAATTGTATTAAATCACCTAATTACCAAAAGGTAGTCCAGCCTAAAAATAGCCCCGGCCTTTCATTTCTGAGGAAGCCCTCTGATGATCCAATTCTGATCGATCGACATTGATATTTTGAAAGTTTGTACTCTTCAGTGCAACATTAGCGCCAATTGCATCCGTAATGCGTGGATATTAAATGAACTAAATAGTATTGAGTTTGGCTTTACATTCTGTACACTGAATGCTATTTTAGCACCTACGATAGGGGTTGTCTAGTTTTGACATTGAATAATTATTGATATTTTATTGGATTGAAATTACATTGAGATTGGTTTTAAGAGTAAGCACCCTGGTAAGTCCTGTTCACATTAGGGGGCGTCCATAAATTACGTGAGATGTTTAAGGGGTAGGGGGTAGACTCAAATTTCATCTAATCTTACGTTGGAGAGAGGGGGGTCTCGGCAAATATCACGTAATTTTTTTTCTGATAGAAAAAAATAAATTATACTATTTGTACCGACTTCATAGTTCATTTATTCCAAATTGTACACAAAGCACCGCTAATTAGTTGCAGCGCTACACATCGACATTACTGTCATTTACACAGTGTACATGTGTGGGTAATTTCATATAACTGTGTATAAAAATATTCGTCCACCACGTTCACATTGGTATTTTCATTCTTGTGTCGGTATACGTATTTTTATAATTTAATGTATAGGTAAGGTTAAAACTATTTACAATCATTGATATGACCCGACATTTTCACTGTCAATATCGTAGTGCTCGTGGTCGATTGGTTAATGAGCACGCTTTTATCGTCTTTCAAGGATCAATGATGTGGGTTCTATTCCAGCTAAAAGTTTATTTTATTTTACCTTGTTATTTTTCTTATTTTTTTTTGTTTTTTGTCATAAAATATAAATATCAGGCTATAAAAGAAGCAAATGAGTTGGTAAATAAAACAATACTATTTTTTATTACAATTAATTTATTTATTATACAAATATTTTGTTTTATATTCAATATTTATATCTAATAATTAATTATATACCACATGTTAAGTTTAAAGTTCTTTAAATCATAATTAATAGATATGACAATAAACCTCATAGTCGAATCGGGAAATATCATGCGGTACAGCGGTAATACGATGGCAGCAACATTTTTTATTAAGTAATAAACAAATATACAACATTCTTGTTTTAATTTAATAATAAATTAAGTTACAGTAATAAACAAGTAAAACATGTAAAAAATTACACTGTCAACATAATATTCTTGAAATGGGCGACTTTTTGTCGTTTGAACTTCCATTAATTATCTATTTTACGACGGTTGTTATAAGGTTCAATATTCAGTGGGCTGTATGATAGTAAAAAGAATGTGACGAATGCTATGGAACGATTTTAACTTTCATGACCTTTAGAATCAGGGAAACTTTAAATTAATTGAAGATGGGCGTAAATATAATATGTCAATCAAGTTCGAAAGCAGTTAAATAAATTTGTTAATGAAAAATTAAAGTGAAGTGAATAAACATGTTGAATAGAAAGAAATTATGACAATTTCTAACCACAAAACAATAACATCACTTCACCGTATGTTCTAGACAGCATTTTAATATTCTTAAAAAAATTAAACATTATTTTATGTTAATTTTAATAAAGGCAGAGTTTGACAGGCTCAATAATTGATTCCGAAATCAATACAATCACTGATCCTACAAGGCAGAAGGTTGCAATTCGTATACCTTTCTCCATCTTTTCTTCACAATATTTTACGCCCATCCTTATCCGACTTGAAAGTCTTTTCGTCGCTCAATATGATTACACTGTTCGCCCAATCAAAATTAATAAAGTCCTTAGCAAATTCTTAGCGCTTTTGCTGGTGAACCACAGATAACAATATTTTCTTCTCTGGCTTCCTGCACCTTAAACCAGAATGCAGGTGTCTCCGTACAGTTTGTATTAAAACATTCAGTGCTGTCGCTGTAGTGCGGGTTGGCAGGAACGGATCAGCCATGTGCCTGGCTACGATGTCGTAGTGCCGAGCCGATGAATTTGCCTTTGGTTTAGGCCCACGTCGACGATGTTTAACGTCACCGGTCTCCGCATATCTGTGCACCCATAACTGCATGGATCTCCTCTGTTGATACCAAACAAATAAGTATTTAAAATACCAGGAAATACTTTACAGGAATTAAAGTTACTTAAAAATAATAATAAATATAAGTAAACACAATGTTAGAATAATAATTTATAATTAAGTAGTGGCGTAAGGAATAAAAATCCCTAACCAGATATGTTTTAAAGAAACACTCCTAACAAAAACAAGTCAAGTTACAATACAATTAATAATAAATTATTAATATATCTTTATAATATTGAACTTCATAATAAGTTGCAATAATTATTTTATTCTAGTGCAAAAATTGATAGGTGTGTCGAGTTACAAAATGAAATAAATATTATTTAGAATAACAACGTAGTATCTTATTTACTCACCGATATCATTAAACGCCTTGCTATTTCAGTTATTGTTAGTTATGTTTTGCTCATGCAAAACAATGGTTTCAGCCTTTTTAAATGTTGATAGGTGTTGGAACATCTTGTAAAAATAAAAATAACTTTGCACACGAATATAAGTAGTGTAGCAATAAACTATGAAATCCTCATAAATTGACAACTAAGAACGCAATTATTTTGTAAGTCGGGTGATTTGAAAAACATGTTTTAAATAGTCGGTAGTTACTTCATAAGCGTGTAAAATAAAATGACTCGAGATTTCTATGGTCGCCACAAACATTGCAAATATACTCAGGTATCGAACCATTAAGAAATCACAGTTAATTACTTTTTTACTGTTTTTTCTTATTTAAGTTGGTTGAAATGCATGAAGCAAATGAGATTATTCTAAATAATAAATAACTAGAACTAAAATATAAATAAAAGATATTATAGGTATAAATAAATCTAAAGTATTTACTATTAAAATTAACATAAGATTTAGAACAATAGGAAAGGAAAAAAAAAAAGATTTAATTGTTTCTAATTTCAAATAAATTTAAATTAATTCTAAAACAACATGTGAATGTTGGAATCGATCCGGCGGCACTTTACTTGACAATTGGAGGCGATAACCATTGCGCCAAGCGCGCTGTAGATGAGATCATCGAAATATTGTATATCATTCAGTAACATAAAATTACAATGAGAAAGCACTATATTTATATGGGTATTGTATAGCTCGATCGTTCATTATTTTTGATTTCGATTTATTCAAAGTTTGTTATGAGTAATTTTATCTTTACCCTCGTTTTTATTTAAACTTATTTACTAAATTATTGCGTATACCGACACAAAAATGATATTTAAATACCAAGATGTGTGTGATAGACGAATGTTTCTATACATATCTATTGATATGAAATTACCCACACATGTATATTGTGTAAATGATAGTTGTGTCGATGTGTAGCGCCGCTAACTAATTAGCAGTGCTTTGTGTACGTGCTTAAGATTTAATTGTAGATGCACATGGATTTTTTTCTTTTTGCAATAACAATCCAATGCATTTACGTGAAAAACCAACATTTTGAAAAATCTCACGTGAGATTGGGGGATGGGGGAGGGTGTTGAATAAAATCTCACGAAATCTCACCAAGGGGGGAGGTAGGGACAGACAATTAAAAAAAACACCTCACGTAATATATGGACGCCCCCTTACAGTAGAACTAGAAACACGAATGGAGAAAAGAGCACTGCAGCTATATGTCTTAGAATTTTTTTTTTATTTATTTATTTAAAAATTTAAAAATAAAAAACTAGTTCGAAAATCTACTCACCTATGATCAGCATTTTCAATCCTAGCATCTAAATTGGCGACTCTGTAGTAAGTCTGGTTCTTGAAGTAGAGCTCATAGGCATGGTTCACCAGGCGGGTTCTGAAGGCCAGAGCTAGTCTGCTCTCCAGGTATCTGATCATGGAATTGATGAAGGTCGCTGGAATAGCTATCCCGAACCACTGGAGTAGCAGCATAGCGAACCGACGCATGTCTTTTTGGACTATGTGTTTTACTGGAATGAGATAAGAGTTATTTTTAGTTGCATAGTTTTATGTATGAGTGGTGTTCAAATGGTATTTAATGCTTTGTGTCAAAAAGAGTTCTTGAGTTTTATAATATTAGAAATTTTCTGAATAGCCTGAAATGACTGCCTCGTTGGCCGAGTGGTCGTAAGTGCGACTGCCGGGCAAGGGGTCTCGGGTTCGATTCCCGGGTAGGGCAAAGTATTACTGGGTTTTTACATATTCTCAGTCGGTGTCTGGAATTGTGCCCGGTATATGGCAATAGGCTCCCCCCTATTACATGGGACTCATAACATAAATAGTGAAAAGTGGGTGTTACATTGTATAGTGGTATAATGCTCTGCCTACCCCTTTGGGGATAAAAGGCGTGATGGTATGGTATGTTATGTTATGTTTCTGAATAGCACAGAATAGTCTTTTGCTTGATAATAAAAACGCCCACAATTTGAAATTGGCGAAAAGTAGAATTACGTTCATACGTTTACACGTGGGCCTTTGAAGCACTTGTATTTATGATAACTAAAAACATTTATTAATAATAACATATCTACATCAGAAAAACTTCATCAAAATTCATTATTTAACTTGGATATAACTAAAAACTTTACAAATTACAAAAATTTTACACCATCCTAGTACCACAGAACTTTACAAGTATATAAAAATATGTACTCACCAATAGATCCCTCCAAGGAAGCCACATAAATAGACAGGAAGGTTCTTGTGAAGAGGCACAGGGTATGTGCAGACAGTATGGCGACCTCGTGACTCCTGACTCCTGGCACCATTATGCGGGCGAGGGAGATCAGCTGTCGGATGAACTCCAGGTTCAGACCTGGAATGTGTTCCTCTACCGATTGGGTCTCATCTGCGTCTTCCTGGAAATAAATTATAATTGTTAAGGTTAGGTGAGAAATAGATAGGTACTGAAAATACAATCATCCTCGTCGTAAGATCATTTTTTTAATGGGACAAGCCCGCCACAACCTCCCAAAACCTGTAAGCCAGGATCTACAGTAGATACAACCATAAAAACACCGGAACACTGAAGTCCAGCGCGTCCCAGGGACATGAGTAACTGACTTGGCTCCCACAACGAAGTGAATCAGAAGATATTATAAGAGGAGAAGAAAAAAAACGATCGTTTCCTTCGGCATAAGATCAGTAAAATAATAAATGTATGAGTTTAAAGAAGGCAGATGTAAGAACTGAAAGTGAAGATAAACGGGCTATATTTCAAACAAGCCCACCCACCATAAATCCCTAAAAATGCTGAAATTCTTTTAAACCAGGATTTACAACAAATATAACCATAAAAACATCGAAGCAATGCAGTCCGGTGCATCCCAATACATGAAATATTTCGGATCCCGTAACGTAGGTAATCAGAAGTTTACTGATTTGAATATGGAAATTTATAATAAAACAACTTTGTTTATAGTAAGTAGTGCACCGCTCAAGGGAACGTTCGCCCGCCACTTCTAACAGTAGAGTAGAAGAATACGAACAGTTTTCATTTCCCTCAGTATCGATATTTTTTAATACATGGGGCAGAATAGCCTTTAGGGGCACAAAGGGACTAGGGACTAGCCCAGTTGCCAATTGGCACAGGAATTTGGCTGAAAACTAAGCAAGTCCTATTATATGGAACCTGTTATTACACTTGTTTTCAATAAAAAGTATGCTAGACGTTATATCAAGCTTCAATACTGGTGATGATTCTGTTGTACTTACAATATTCTGTTTATTATCTGTGTCGGCGTCTCCTCTGCACAGCGCACACTGCTCAGCCCCGCACCGGCCGCCGCATGTGTCTCCATTCGCTGTGCCATTATCCACATTGTGGAGTTTGCCATTTTTAGCAACCTGGGAAAAAACACGAGTTTAGACCACCTGTGAGGCTGACACAATAGTAGTATTAGTTTCAGGAGCAATAGAACGCCAAATAACTTAAGCCTGAAGTGCCTACAGCTTCTATTTCTTTATTGCATGCTCATCCATTCCAGGTTCTTTTTTTGACCCGTACCTAACTTCACGCTCGATACGCCTCTCTCGCAAATCTTCTAGTGTTCTTTATTTGAATAATACCAATTGGCCAGTCACCTTAACGTTCCTTTTTCAAATTCTTGTCACTAGGTACATCTTTTTTCAATTCGCTTCGGTTTAGAAGGAATATGTGCATTATTTACTAGAGTTAGAACTGAATTTACTATGCAACAATTGAAATAAACACTCCTATGCGCTTTAACTTCGGATTAATATGAACTGACCCTCGATGTTATAATACGAGGCACCAGCCTATACACATGGATGGATAAATTTGGTCATCAAAGTGGTTGTACGCATCTACCCCCACCATGACAAAATACGTAGACTACACAATTATAAAAAAAAAATACTCACCTTATAATTATTATTGTTGTTGCAAGGAGGTGCGTGTTTCTTGTCTCTGGTGCCATAGACTGCGCAGGCGGCTAGAGCTACCCCCACTCCAACTCCTAAAGCTATCGAGGGTTGTACCCTCGAGGCCTGTTCTCTGATCTTTGTCAAAATCGCAGGCATTTTGGAAATATTTTTATATTTATATATTTATGAACATTTATGCTTAAATTATCGAGATCTTTGTCTTAAATATAAACTGTTCCGGGTGGTTTCAAGTCATTACAGTGAGTTTTCGTCGTCCATCGTTCTGTAACAAAGAAAAAAATGATTTTATTATTTCTTGAAGGGCGAGAGTAACACAAAGACACGGTTAATATGATCAAAATATCGTGACAGTAAAAATAAGGTAAATGTCATGTGTAAAATAGTGTTAGTAATATAGAATATATATATAGTGTTAGTAATTTAGTAATATAGAAGTAAGTACAAAAGAAAAAAAGATAAGACATAGTTAACAAAATTAAAATTTTAAACAACGCAAAAACGCAATATTACTAAAATACTTAATTATACAAAGGACCAAATGATGAATATTTAACTACGTGATTAATGGCTTATTTAATTAGATATATTATTGACTATTACACCTAAATAAGAATACTAGTAACACTAGACAAGCTACTTTGTGTCCTTATAATGTCTTCCTCATAGCTGTCTCATGATTGATTGATGGTTTAAAACAAAAACTATTAACTAATAGACATTATTCAAGCAAATATAATACTAATTAAAACAATGTTAAAGGTGACATCCTCAATAATCTATCTAAACGTCAAAATAATTTGTTTTGTATAGAATCTTAGTTTTAAGTTTAATGTTGTAGAAAAATAAGAATTATTTAACATAATTGGTAGACATTTTATATGAATCATTAAGACAAAATAATAAGGGGACCATTACTCGAGACGAATACCAAACAAATAGGTTTTAGTAAATAAAAATCGTTAAGTTTGTTTACATTATTAGGAGGGGGTTTATTTTGAGGGGGAAAAATCATCCAATGACTCCTCCCGCCCGGGTGAGGCGGGAGGGAGTGTCAGACTCTTACTAACTAAAAACCACCCCGTTCTTACTCCTTCACTTCGAGCCGGAGCCCTGGTAACCCGTTAAGTTCTCCGCGACTCCGAATCGGAAATTATTAGGAGGGTAGGGAGGCATTTTCCCTGCAGAGAGATAATTATAGCTGTATATATACAACATATAATATATAATAAATAATAGTAATAATTGTTTGCTTGCATTCCAGCAAGTACCCTTCTTATTACAGTTAAATTAACTTTAAACCAAAATACTTTAACAACCATAGTAGTACCTACCTAACAAAACGTGTGAATTCATTAACAAAGCACCAAACTTATTTTATATTTTTTGCTAAAGGTAATAACCACCTAATATAAGTTGGCAAGACCATGTTAATTTAGCAATTATCTCGTAAATACCACATTTTATTGTCCAATTAAGCCAGTCGTTTTAATTGAACACACATTCATGTTTCCTATTTTTTTTTATTTGCAATGTCAAAGTCAAAGACAACACCTATTAATCCTAATTTATTGGATCACCTTTTGACATTTTTGCAGTATTGTTGCAGGTGATCCAATAATTAACCATAGGTGATCCAATATTAAAATAAAACATTTTTGCAGTTGGTATTTACTTTTGTATTTTTAAATTTTTAAATGTAGTTTTATAGGTTTTGATCGCCGAATGAAAAAACCCCTATTACGAGTATTACGTTGTGTTAAGTATGTTATCCCCTTTTTTCACTTCTCCGTGTTAGCAAATAAAAAAAAACAAATAAATATTTTACATAATATTCAATGACAACATTTAACAATACTTTTTTCTATCATAAAGCTTGTTTAATATAAATAAAAACCAATGAATCAATAGAACAAGTTTGGTTCCAATATTAATGGTACAAAAATAATTACCTACTCAAAAAACAAGATAAATTACATTTTGACTATTTTATTTATCTACATACTTTAATTTATTGAAACTATGTTTATTTGGTGAGTTATCTAACTTAGTCAGTCTTAATTTTAGCCAAAAAAACATAGGTCACTGCATCACACAATTTTAGATTTAGATGAACAGATCTAAATTCTTAGATAGAGGCAGTATATTGTACTGCAATAAACTGCGACACAGGAGAGTGAATAGCCATGTCATGAATAGAAGCGCAATGCGCATACAATCTGCACAATTGCCACGAAACTAGCGCAGTGTACCGCATCCTTAATATGACACAACTATAGACAACTAGCTTTCTTCCTGCGGTTTCGACTGCGAGAATTAGCCCTTATCCATCTCCATAGTCAAGACCTCTTTCCCTTCCCTCCATGTCATACGTCACACACTGCCTTTCATCATCTATGTTAATAAAAATGGATTACCAAAATGTATGTGCCCATAACTGTCGAATGACTGCATGGAATGGTATTATTCTTTTTTTGTCATGTTTGTTATGGTTGTGACAAAGGAGAACGGCAGATTTTGTACCGCTTCGCTAAAAAAAGATTTGTCATTAAAAAATTGGGTCATTATAGAACCTCCTAAGTACGTTATGTTAGCATATTTAATAGATTTTTAAAACTTGGGAAACCCTAGAAAAACTGATATTTAATAATGATAAAAAGCGATCCACTATACGTAAAACGAACCGCGATTGACGTTTACAAAGTTGCCATGCGTAAAGATGAAATCAGAGCATATTGAATTTCGCTATTTCATAAACTCATTTATTTTAATATCTATCAATGAAATATTTTCCTTTCCATTTCAAACATTTTTATAAGTAAATATAAAAATCTACATCCAATCTAAATCTACGTTTACATGGATTATTAATGATAATTTACATTTTAACAAACTTGAATATTATGGCAATGTTGAACTGGCATTTGTCTTGATGACATTGACAATTAATTTGTCAATACTGGCGCATTACTGTTTGTTTCAAATGCGATGTTATGATGTGTTTGTTGAATTTGAAGTTATTTTATTCATCTGGTGATACGTTGAGTTTGGCAACCGTTCCTCCGTAGCCCAAATTGGTATTATTGGCATCATTGTTGTGACAATTGCGAAAAGACACTTATTTACATTATTTTGTGCAGTGTGTTGTTATTTGTCGCGATGATGAATTTACAGTGTATTAATTGCATTCAGAGTTTGTCGCACATGAGACGGCATGCTCTAGAAAATGAGAGTGAAGATTAGACGTGGTCAACAATATCCCAATGTGGACTTATCCTAGAGATGTAAGTACCTAGTTTACCCATAACATATCGAAAGTCACCATGTTCCTGAATAAAAGAAGGCGCATAGTGTTATCTACCCATAATGTATCATTTTATTCTTTTTATTCTAGATCTCTCCTACCGACCATATTTGCAATGCTGGCAATTAGCAATGTATCGGGATGTTGCTGAAAGTATGTCCAGCAAACAAATTGGTCACTGGCATGTTTGTGTCGTATATGGGTGATTCATTGCAATGGTTTTAATTGAAGGTGACGCAGGGTTTTAATTGAAGGCGCCAACAAACAGGAGTAAAGACTGGCTCATATAGTATTTGATTGGATTCAGCCACAAGAGGTAATAAAGCATAATTTAACCATACTATTATCTATATACAGTGTAATCTAAAGTCAATATCATATTCTAATAATATTACTTATTTTAGCTTACTTCCCATGATGAAGATCATGTTCCATACTGACTGAGAGACCGTACAAGAGTCGAAACTATAAAACCACAACCTGACATACCACCTCACAGTGTTCACTATCAGGAAGTAATGTATTATGTAAACATGGACTAAGCCTCACTTTAAGATTGCCATTTGTAGAACAGATGAGGCCGGATGATGTTGTTCGGCTCTCAAAGCTTCAACAGGTATGCATTCTCAATATAATAAACCTACATAATTATGTATCTATGTGGAGTATATAAGCGGTTTCTAATAGGTTTATACTCATGTTATAATTATAATTTATTAATTAGCATGCTGTTTGAGCTCCTATGATCTGTGTTATAGGAATAACTATAATAAATGTTATAAAATGAAGTAATAATCAAATATTTATTTTATCTTTTCCATTTTAAGATAGGGAATCAGACTTATTATTATAACATATAAAACTAAAGGAAAAAAATGTACTTTTGTTTACTTTATTTACAGTTATCTTACTTGTTTACAGATATCAGCAATTGATGTCTGCTGTACCTATGACACGGCCTGTTCTCTTTTTAGATGAAGTACTCCTAGAAACAACCTGAATACAATGAAATAAAAGTATTTCAAAATAATACATTTGTTTTATTTTAACCTAGTAAGTTACTATATATTCCATCTTGATAAAAGTGATTTTAAGAATCAATCTATAAAATAAATGCCATATTTAATTTAGATAGCTTTAGTTTTATACCAAAAATGTTCATTTTCATTTTACATTTTCTTTAGTTGTAATGTGGTGGCCCAGAGGTTTAAGAAGCCCGCTTCTTATGCATGAGAGTGCGGGTTCGAAACCTACCAACGGCAAAGTACCTTTTGTCCAATGTGTCTTTTTTCCGAGTTATTGGTATATTCAATAATCTAAGAAAGTACAAAGACACCGCTGACGAATGGTGAAGGAAAACATTGTGAGGAAACATGGGCTTATAATTTCTTATTATAAGTTTGAATTACCAACCCACATTGAGCTAGTATCGTGATTAATGCTCAAACCTCCATGCGAGAAGAGGCTTCGGTCAGCAGTGGCCACTTATAGACTTAATGATGAAAATGTTGATGATTCTACTAATTTGACTTATTAGAAATTAATCCTTACATGCATGCTAAGCAACCAGTTTTCAGAAGAAATACTTTCTCAAAGAGCTAAGCTAAGTTTAAATCGAATTAACTTGAGACCCTTGAGACTATCTACCTGCAAGATTCAAGGTGAAGTGAGACATTAATTTTATCATATCCGCCACAAGACTTCCACTGCTAAATGTAGGCCTTCTACCCAATGACAGTCGCTTACATTATGAATTTGCATTTTCGTAGGCACCTAAGAAATGAAAAAGATTGTGAGGCATACTCTTTAAAGCTCTATAGGTGCATCATGCTTGCTGAATTAACAGGATCATTCCTAATTGCCTTTTGCGCTGCGACGCACCATAGGTTATTTTTTGGGTTTCTAAATTCTTGTTGTGTGTCGTAGCAAAATAAATGGTTTTTCTTTCTTTCTTTCTTTCT